GTAGACTGGACACAGCTGAAGAAAGAATCTCTGAGCTTTAGAATATATTAATAGAAACTTCCAAAACTAAAAATCAAAGAGAACAAACACACACAAAAAACAAAATTTTGGGAAGGGCTGTGGGACATCTACAAAAGGTGTAACTCAAATGCATTGGGCCTACCAGAAGGAGAAAAAAAGAAAGGAATAGAAGTAATATTTGAAACAATAATGATTGAGAATTTCTCCCAAATTAATATCAGACACCAAACCACATATCCAGGAAGCTCAGAGAACACCAGGCATGGTATGTGGCAAAAACCCCATTAAACCTAGACCTATCGTTTTCAAACTACAGAAAATCAAAGATAAGGAAAAAATTCTAAAAGTGCCAAAAGGGGGGAAAAAAACCTTACTTACAGAGGAACAAGTAAAAGAATTAAATTCGACTTTTCAGAAACCATGTGAGCAAAAAGAAAGCAGAGTGGAATACTTAGTGCTGAGAAAAGAGAAGCACCTGCCTAAAATTCTACACCCTGTTAAATTTATTCTTCAAATGAAGGAGAAATAAAGATGCTCAGACAAACAAAANGGAATAGAAGAGCTCACACTGGGCCTGCACTGAGCGTCTGAACACATTTCAGGCACGTTGCTAGATTGGCTGCCTCTTCCTTCAAGGTGGGTGAGGTCTGTCTGGGGGCTGATGAGAGCTTGACTCATTGTCTTGGTTCTGGATGGGCTCCTTTGGTTCCAGGAAACTTGGGAGGACCTGAGCAGGTCCACAGTCCTCCCTGACTGTGATCAAGAAAGAGTAGGACCTAGAGCCAGACAGCCTTCCTGAACAACCTGATAGAATCTGCCTCCACCCAGGTAGAAGGAAAGGGCGTCTGGTCCCTGAAACCATACACGAAGTGAGCATCTCTGTGTGTCATTGACTTGTTCCAGAATGTTGGTCTTGGAGCTTGAAAGATCACCTGAAACTCACTGCCATGTTTGGAGAGGAAAAACAAATCCTACAGTTGATTGACTTTTTTGGTCTTTCTGACATTTCAGATGAGGCCCCACTGCAGGTAGGCCTGTCTCCTGGCTTTGGTTCACAGGACACAGCAGCATGGGACTTAATACGAGCAGTTCCAGATCTGTGATACTCCCAGAGGGCCCTGGAGATAAAACAACACAGTGTGACCAGCTGAGTCCTGGCTTCTGGTTAGCATACTGTCCAGTCGAACCCTCGCTGAAA